ATTTCTGCAAGCAGCCTGAAATTGAAGGTGCAAAAAATATTAAACAGAAACATCTCAATTACTTTTTCCCTAGCACTATTATGACATAGCTATTTTCTTATGATTTGTTTCAATTTAATATCTTCAAAGGCCACTGACTGGTTTATAAGTAATATTTTTTTAAAAAGACAAAAATACATTATTTTCTGATGTTTCTAATTTTTTTCACTTTCAGATCATATTCCAAAAATTAACTCTAACATAGGTTCTATTTTGCTTAAACTTTACATTTTTTACAAAATAATTACTTGGGATTTTTGTCATTTCTCTTAAAAATTTTGTGATAGAAGTGATAATTAAGTATTTGATCATAGAGAAATTTAAATACACACATATTTTTTAGAAAATGATCAAGATATTTCCCGATCTTCACTTGTAAAACCAATGAGTAGCCAAATGTGTGGAATCTGAATTTTTACTTCATAACCTTCCACTCTTGATCCTTTAGGAATATTGTCCAAAATATTCTTTAAAGCATAAATCTTTATGTCTTCTCACTTCCCTGCTCAAATTTCCACTTCCATTTTCAATGTTAAAGACAGATCAAAGATAAGACTGTTGTAATTAAACAACAGAATTGCCCCATTCCTATATCCTCTTACCACATGTTTTAACCTGTAAATTTATTCAATAATTTTAGAGTCTATCTTCCTTCCTTTTCAGATAATAGTGTCTTTATGAATACCTTCTGTGGAAACAAATTATTAGAAATAATTCTTCTAAAAAAATTCAAACAATCAATTTTGATTATCCATTCTAGTAGAGAAGAGTGGGCTAGAAATTCCGCAATCAGTCTACATGGCTTTGGCATTTGTTATTCCAAGAGTTTTTACTATGCAGATGTCAGGAAAGTTGAGAATTTATGGTATTTCAAAGCAGAAAATTAAATTCTACGGCAAAGTAAAAAAATGTCTAGACTAGTATTTGATCTAGACTAGCATTTGATCTAATCTCTTTTTGTCTTTTACTTCTCTGTCCCTTTGTTGAGGACAGACCATGCTCATTCTCAGACTGCTGCACAAATTTTATGTGCCTAACTGACTTATCTATGGCTGCTGCCTCCTTCCCTCCATTTCTAGGTTTGTTTTGCTTTCTCTTAAAAAGACACAAGTAATTGTTCTTGTTTATTCTCACTTTTTGCTTCCTGAGGTTTATAAATGTCTTTAAAAGAGGGTTGGTACCTAAAGTAGGATTTGTTACAAACAATTCTATAATTTAAAACTGATTTTCAGTAATTATATTCTATAATCTTTTCACAAAAATTTGATTCCCAAGTGTTACTTATATATAAATGAATACCACTAAGTTTATGCTAATGTAGTGACAACCTAGATGAAAGGTAATTTTAAAACCCGAAGAGAACTAAGTTGCAAAGAACTAAGGGTAAAGATTACTAGAGGAGGCTCAATCCATGCCAATCTCAATATTTAAGTTTTAAAATATAAAGAAGTAATTAACTCATTTATGAGTCTTGAACCTTAGTTCAATGGGTGCTGAACAGTGTTGGAAAAAATTCGTTCTGAGTGGATGCCCCAAGGAACATGTTTGTAGAAAACCTTGTTTGACATCTCCAGGCCACAGGCCATGCCCCTCAGCACACATGAACCTCTTAGCAAAGTCCCACCGCAAACACAAGATGCTTTCATATACATTAAAATGAGTCATGGAATAATATAACTTGATACATTTCCCACACAATTTTGTTTTCTTCACTAGATGTTTTCTTATAAAAAGCAAATAATTTTTGACATTTTGAAGTCTCAGTTAATTTAATTTATTCATGGCCTGTGTATAGGGCTACAGGACACAGCTGTGTCTAAACCAAGCAGAAACTGTTTCATAAAAATAGCAATGGGGAGCTGTGTCTAGAAGAAGGGTAGAGGAGGAGGGAAACTGGGTATCTCTTGAGAGGATAATGTAAATGGGAAATAGCGTAATTAATTTAAATCTCAACAAGTGTAATCTAGGAGTTTGGAGTTTGCAGTCTAATGTTTGTTGATGAATGTTATTAAAAGAAAAGCAACACTACTGTGGAGCTTTAAATGTGAGAATTAAAATAACTTTAGATGATTTCATGCACCCTGATATTCTACTAACTGGCCCATTTTGAACATCTTTAGATAGCCAAAGGAAGGTCTAAAGGAATTATACAAAATTATGTTTCTTCTGAGACTTGAAATAGGAATTATAACTTCAGTCTGGTATTATTGTCAAGGATATGTACTTATATCCCTATTATTAAGAAACTTGCTAGACTAAGTGGATTATCTTTGGAAAAATAGCCCAAGACCTTTCAAGAGAGTCTCAGACCTGATGAAGCCAGGCCTGGTGAGTCATGTGACTGTACAGATGAGCTAGTGCGGCCAGTGCTCTGCCCGCCTTGGCAACAACTGCAAAAGTGCACTCCCACATTTGCTAGTCTCAGGGTCACTCGTTTTTCTGCATTGCCTTTGCACTTAGCTCAAAGGGCTTTATATCCAGTCGACCTGTAGTATCCAAAGAGGTACGTCTCTCTCTCTCTCTGTTTTCTAAATCAGGGGAGCTTACAGCGGCGTAACTCCTCCCATTTACTGATGCTTGTCTCAGTTCCTCTATGCTATGTCCAGTTCTTTTTAAACATTCCGTCTTCATTTTCTCTAGTGGCTGAGTCTTCACAGAGATGACTGCTAAGTGCTGGGAAATAATATGTGGATCTACTTTGATTGCTTTTCTTCCAACATGTGGAATTATTACAACTGAGCATTCTTCTCCAGATTTATCTTCCTCCAACTTACTTTTGCCATCTACCATTTTCTCAGCATGCTTTTCTGTCTTTTCGATGATTCTATCAACGTCCAGATCTCCAAAGATACCCATATATGAACTCGTTGAGGTTGCCCTATCCAGTGGAACTTTTGAAACTCCATCAACAATTAAACTGGCCACCTTAGGGAAGACTGTATTTGTATCTTTTAGGTCATAAAGTTCTTCATGGCTTCTGGATTGTTGCAGCATATTACCATAAACGGAATCAACAACCTGAGAAATCATGTCCATTTCTTCTAGATTTGAAGAGTAATCTTCAGGTTCAGCAGCTACTAGAATAATATTATTTCGAGAAACTTCAGCTGTTACAGATTTTGTCAGTTGAGATGCAATTTTATTTAAGTTGGTTTTTGATAAACTGTGTGTATCATTCCTGGAAATACAAGGTGACCTTACTAGTTTAGCCAAGAATAATGCCAGTGCTTCCTCTAAAACATTGGGATCTAACATAGAACACTTTTTGGATGAAGGGTGTTCCTGGGACTTAAATTTATCAACAATTTTGACCTCTTTTTCCATAATTTTGACAGCTTCCAGAACTAGTTCTGAAGTTGATATTTCTTCTTCTATTTGAGGTTGAAATTCAGAATTGGAAATTTCCTTCACCATTAAAAAACCTATTATGTCAGAAAGGACATTAAGTCTTTAAGTCTGACCCATTAAGTCTTTAAATATGGACATAGGGGAACCAGAATGTTTTAAAAGACTGGTATAAACAGAATTAACTACTTTTTCAATAGTTGCACTGTTAGCTAAAGATACAGTGGGTGACTCCTTGGCAGGTCTTGTAAGTTTAATCCTACTTTTGGAGACACATTCTTGGAATGAATTTAGTATTTCTGAGGTTATTTTTTGCATTTCAGTTTGTGATTTGGTTTTTTCCTTATGCATTTTTGGAAACATAGATAAGAGTTTTGAGAAAAATTTTACAGCAATTTCTTCTATTATACTATAAGACACTTTATGAGCATGTGATGGTTGAGGTGGAGTGGTCTGGATAACATTGTAAAGGATACTTTCAACAATGCTATCAACTTCCGCACACTGATGTGGAGTTAACTCTCCACAAAAGTAATTTTGCAACTGATTGCCAGCCACTTCTCTTAGAACTAAGTCAACTATGGTTTCTGAAAGAAGTCCGCATCCATTTGATACACAATTTTGTATGATTTCTTGTGATCCAAATTGTGCCAAAAGATTATTGTAAATGGACTGAACCACCAATTCAATAATCTCATCATCATTGCGATGCAAGGGTTCTACATATTGTATAATCATGCCTTCATCTTTGGAAATCTCTGCTGCAATTTTACTTACTAACTCCATCTGAAGGAAATCAAATTCTTTGGAAAATTTGTTTTCAGATGTTTGTGCTTTGGTGATGTGATAAAAGAGTAGAAATCACATCTTCTAAAAATTGGTGAGGCAACATTACAGTATATGGTAATATTGTCTGACATTCTTTGCTGGCTGTTTGGGCCACCTTTTGGATCTTTTTAACAAGACATTTAGATTTCAGAGGCAAACAAGCTGAAACTGGAGCCTCATCACAAAATATCAAGTTAAGCTGATGTTGATAAAGTTCACTTATTACTGCACTAGTTAACTGTTTTACGAAATTTCCATTACTGTTAATGTCCTGACAAAGAGATTCTGGAGATTTATATTCTTTCAAAATATTGCAAATAGAAGAGTGAGTGACTCTACTGACCAGTGTTTTATCAATTGATGGCATTTCATCTGGGACAGGTGTCTCAGGTGAAAAAGGTCTTTCTGTCACTTTATGCATGTCTGGCATTTTATCCACGTTTTTTAGCTTGATGATGGATGATGCTTCCTCTGTAGTTGATTCTTTATTCCTGGAAGGTGTTGTAGGAACTGATGACACTTTACTTGTATGTGGGAAAAACTGATTTCCCTCCTCAGGACTAAATACCTTTTTTTTTTTTTTTTTGTATTAAATTCTTTTATTGGTACATTGTAGGTATACAACACAATTACATTTCTCATTGCGAATTGTACCTTTATATAATGCATCTTGGTTCTTATTTTTTCCCCATTCCTAGCCCTCCCTTCATGCCCTCCACCCTTCCCTATTTACAAAGACTTTATTTCCATTTTTTCCATTTCTCATCATTTTTTCCTTTCCCTTCTTTCCTTTCCCCTGTGCCTCCCACTACCCCTACCCCTTTGGACCTTTTATTCTTATTTTACATTATCGATTATTCATTCTAATAATTGGTACATTTTAGGTATACAATATAATGACATTCATCATTGGAAATTTGCACCTTTACATAGTCTCTCTTGGTTCTTATTTTTCACCCTTGCCCAGCCCTCCCTTCAACCCCTCCAGTCCTCCCTATTTACAAAGATTTTGTTCCTATTTTTTCATTTTCTCATATTAATCCCATTCCCTTCTATCCTTTCCCCTAGCCCTCCCACTTCCTTCCCCTTTGCCCCTTTTCTTCCTATTTCACGTTGCTTATTATACATTTAGGACTAAATACCTTAATTTGAGCATCTGAGAACTCCTTCATCAGTGACTTGAGAAGCATCATAGCTGCAACATAGAGTTCAGTTTGTTTCTGATCATCATTTACACTTACACTTTTTTCAAATGTTTCCATTTCTGGTGAGGAAGAAAATAGCAGTTTGTTAACTATTTCATTGACAACATCTTCAAAAAATTTAGCAGGAAAAATTCCAGCTTTACTTTCTGGATGATCTGTTTCAGTAGCTTTGCTTTCAACCTCCTTTTCTCTTACTTTCTCTTCCTCTTTTTGTCTCTCTTTCACTTTCTTTCCTTCCTCTTTAGCACGGTCTTTTTTGTTAATTGAGGGAGATAAACCCTTTGTTGTAACGAACTGAGTAGACTTCTTGCCAGTCTCCTGAATTACATTTAGTGCTTTACTACCTGGGGAGCTTTTACTGAGTCTGTGTTTTGAAAAATCTGATGGTTCTTGAACAGAAGGCCTTAATAAAATTATATCAAATATCTAAGGAATAAATTCCACTAATTCTATACAAACTCTTTCAGAATATTGAAAAAGTGTGATTCCCAAATCATACTTTGAGATCAGGATCATTCTGATCCACAATATCATTTACCTAATATTACAAGAAAACCAAACCTTAAGCAATTTCCCCATAAGGAAGGAAAAAGAATTATCAACAAAAAATCAAATCCAACAATATATAATAAAGATCATGTGTGAGGAGTTTATCTTAGGATTTAAGCATTAGTTTACCACTCCAAATCAAAATACCTTATCAAATTACAGACAAAACAAAACAAATTTCATGTGACTATCTCCAAGGTACAGAAAAAAATTGAAGTTCAACACATACTCATTTTAAAACCTCTTACTGAATTAGGAATAGAAGGGAGTGGACATCTGTTAAAGGACATCTTCAAATACTTATAGCCAATATTCTCACTAATATTAATGACTTTTTCTTAAGTTTTAGAACAATATTAGGATGCACCCAACCACCACTTCTGTTCAGCATTCTATTAGATGTCCTACCTAGACAGAAAAGGAAATGACAATTAGACCTAAACAAAACCCCACAGGCTATTTATTAGAAATTTAAATTTCTAAATTCTTTTGAGGAATTTAAAAAGCCCTAGAACAACCTAGAAAGTCATACTGGAAAAACAACAAAGACTGGATAACTCAAGTTGCTAGATTTTTTTAAAAAGACTTATTATAAAGCTATCACAATAATAATGCTATAAGAATGCACAAGAATAAATACAACAGAAGATAATGTTTAGAAATAAACCAATTTATCTATGATCATTTTACTTCAAATTTGTCGACAAACTTAATGGTGTTGAACCAACTGGATGTGTAACAGATAAGCTTGGTTCATCCTGTCTTTCCAGGTAGCAAGGAAACTATCAAAGATCACCAGAGTGGTATCATAAAGACTCTGGAGTTATCTCTAAGGGACTTCCACTTGCCAGAGCTGTCACAACTTTAACATTAATAAGAACAGTAACAGTGCTACTATACTGATAAGTGTCATGAATTTAAAAATTTAAATAACTTGATGTATTGCAACACATTGAATTTGTTTAAGTGTGTGAATTCCTCATAACATTAAAGAAAAGTAACAGCACATTATGGAGGAAGCTGTTGAAACAATTCATCATTGTGAAAACTGATGCATGATAGTAAAATATTTAGCACTTACTGTTTTTTTCAAAAACATTCACTACCACAAGATAAGAGCAAACCATGGGGGGGGGGGCTTTTCCTAAAAGTATTCTATATAATCTAAGAAATGATAGAATTAAAATATTCCAACTTTGTTATCCTTAGATTTATTTATGAGTATACGTAGGCCTTGAACCTGAAGGACTGCAAAGATCACAGAGAAAACCAGGTATAATATGCTTCTTAGAGGAAAGGTATACCACCTGTATGACTCAGTCTTGCTAAGACATTCAACATGAATACTTCTGGATCTAACTGGTACTTTATATAAAATAGAGAGGAAATAACATACAGAACTAGACTATCGAGGTGGAATCAACAAGAGGGCAGTTTGTGAAGAACCCAACAGGATAATCAGGTCAATTTTCTTCTATAAACAAACCATCCCACCCCCAAAAAGAAGGGAGAGCCATGCATGGGAGAAGAACTTACAGATTAAAAGATACTAGAAAAATACCAATCCATTAATAAACTGATCACATGTATTCAAACATCAAAATATTTTGTCATATATAATACTATTGAAATGTTAAATAGTGTAAATATTTGGTGATATTATGGAACTATTAATTACTATGTTATGTAAGATGATAATG